AGTTATTTTGGTCCACCAATTTTCACGATTGGTTCTACGGCTTTTCCCAAGTTGGCGTTGCAGGCGCCACCGATCCCTATGCTGATCGTGGCAGATTGGGATCTTTCGCTTTTGATCCATCAGGATTACTGACTCCTGAGAGATCCAATGTCTTTGGCGAACTTCGGGCTCGGTTCCACAAGCACAGTTTGCTGCGAAGTGCATCGCAAATCTAATCTGATCACACTGTTGGTCTACTTCGCTATGCCCCGGTTATCTTACCTCCTGTCCCAGCTTCTCCTCATAACGTGCGCAGACAGCTGGATCGCGTAGACGATGAGCTAACTGGAGAGACGATTTCTACCGATGACCGCTAAGTCGAGGAGTGAAGCGTAACGGAGCTAGTGCATGGTCCGACTCAACGCAGGTGGTCCGATAGGACCTGCAATTTTGTACTGAAACACGCTAACGGTAGCTTACAGCAATGTGGTCAGTTTGGGTCAACTTTCCCGTTGAAATAGAACGCCATGTAGCCGGGTGGGGAGAGCAAAGTGTCCTCCTAGACAAGCTTCTGATGCGCTCAGTTTACCAACCTGCACGTTAAAATCACCTGCCAGCACTATAATACCAGAGCTGCGGCTCAACCGAATCAGTTTGGCGAGTTTGTCGTAAAATTCGTCCTTTTGTTAAGTGAGAGGGGTATCCAATCCGTCCGAAGAAAGTGGATCCACTGACAGAACCACGAGTGATGCGGATTAGCCGGAAAAAAAATAATTTGTATTAGTCAATGTGTGTGGTTTTACATCTCACCTCGGTAAGCTCAACAGTCACAGACGTTAATTGACCTGGTGGAGGAACAGGACATCTGCAAGGGTTAAACAACTAGGTGAATCAGTAACCACGTCGTTTCGGTTAATTTTATTGTCCTAAACCTAAGGGTCACAAACATGCTAGTAATCACTTTAAAAGTAACACGCGAAAGGCCTTCAATAAAAAGAAATGCTAAGCCTTATTGCATTCATAACGGACTAAACAGTATTTATGATACGCCAGCTGAATTGCTTGTAGACACAAGATAACCAAGTTCACATGCTTGCCTAGATATCCTAAAAGAGCTTATTTCGGTTGTGATTCATTTTTTACCTGATATTCTGAAGTGAACCGTATAGAAAAAAATGAAAATCAGCGGTACTTTACCTCCACCGTGGACTGAAATGCATCCGGTTCTGAGAGCAGCAATTGTGAATCGACGAAGAACGCTGTGTTTAGGTGTCCGGCGTTGTACTGCTCTGCAGGACGACAGTCAACTAGAAGAAATCTGATCGACTGCTTGAATTCATTTGGCACATCTTCCGACACCCCTTGGGAAAATTTTAGTGCTGCAGCCTGAGCTTCAAACACTTCTTGAACGGTAACCGGCAAGCATAAGTGAGTGGCAGACATTACAGATCGTTCATCGTCCGTATCTAATACCGTATTTCCGAACAGAAACGGCAGAAATTCAGAACGGAACGACTGCGGAGTGCGACTGGAGAAGAGCTGAGTTAACTCAATCAGCGATGTTACGTCATCTGCCTCCATGGGTTTGGGAAGGTCTAAGAGTTTCTTTAGTACGACGTCTAAAATCCAAAAGCAGGAAGAAACCGAACCAGCTATGGAACAAGGAACCCTTTATCTCACATGCGAGCCTGTTCATAATAACTGGACAACAGAAAACTTATTATTCATTGCACAATTTACGAAATTCATTATATGTTGAGAATTAAGCCGTATCTCTATCTTCTGGTTTAGATTTCAAGATCTTGTGAAGTACATTTTATGGAAGTTCATCCAGTACACGTGACTTCAATGCATTTGCGAATACTTTCACCGCATGCGATATCGTATCCGGTCAAGACTAGAAAGTCGAAATCGACAGTATCGACTACGGGGAACTCAATAAACCCAACGCCTCCGAAGGCCTCGGCGGTTACCTTGGATTGTGACTGGCCACCTTTCCCTTCCACCTCGCAAAATGCTTCCATACGACCAAGCGTCTCGGATAGTCTCTGCTACGGAGGNTGTCCGGGGCTATAACACCGCCAGTTTCAGTTTGTATATGCCCTTTATATGCTTTTGGAGGCCCCAGTCTTCAGAGGTCTCTGTTTTTACTCTGCCACTGATTTGAACATTCCAGTCTTCAAGAGCGCACAATATAGGTGAAAAAGTTTTCGATGAATTCCTCTTCAAGCCTTTACAATCACATTTATATCAAACAGTTTGTATGGTCAAGTAGGAAATTTCGTTATCCCCGTTAGGTTGATTGAAAAGTGCCATTTTAGAACCTATTCGGGCAAACGACTGATCTCATCCCAAGATCTTCGAAACCGTCGCACTTTACAGCATGCTGTCAATGTCGACGTCATTAAGTTCGCAATAAAGAACCTCGGATTCAAAAACGCATTGACATCCTAAGAGACCTACAACCTAACCGTGGAATCCTCCTAAGCAAACCTGACAAATGGACTGACGTGGTTATGGACCGTGCCGATTACGTATCCAAATGCTACTTCTATCCGATCAAACAGAATTCACCTGAGAAACAATGCAAAAGATTCAAACGGGGAAGCTGTTAAGTCAGTTACTGATACGCTAAAGCGGCTCAGCAGTCAGGGCTACATATCATTCCGTTTTTTTCATGTTTCGAACCCCTTGGCTCTAACGTATCTGAAACAAACCTGGTATCCCAATGCGTCTCATCATCTCTATGAAACATTCATCTCACCACGCAACTACCCTTCAGCTGGCTATACTTTTGGAACCCACACATCAAAGAGTGGCCAAGCGCCCATTTAGACACTTCAGTTTGTTGATATAACCAAAAATGTGAACATTTACAACCTACTGATGTTCTCTTCGGATTTCATTTTTCTATTTGCAAATGTTCCCTCGTTAAAAACACTTGATTTCATTTGTGAAACGATATCCATGGGCATCTCAGGTACAACTCTCAACGAGCTCATACCGAATTGAGCGCTAAACATACAACTTGTTTAATAAATACCGTCAAATTGGTGTTGCCACAGGTTCACCCGTTAGACCTGTTGTTGCCGAAATCTTCATAGTCAAGTTAGTGACAACTTCCCTATCCACGGCTATTACTTTCTTTGAACAATATCACCGTTGTGTAGATGATATCTCTTGCGTGGTTGATAAGAACATCAATCCTGACCATGTTGAGTCATAATTCAACGCAGCACATTCGTCAATTAGGTCCACAACTGATCCAGAGGGGAATGATTGCCTCCCGTTTTCCGATGTTCATCTGACTAGACCCCCAGATGGCTCTATCCAGAGAAAGCTGAACCAGAAGTAAAGCAGTAGATAGTACACAAATTTCCATCGCTTCTTCTCACTATCGAGAAAGAAATCTCGTACACTGTCTCCCGTTAGTACCAAGGCCCATCTGTTCGGAAGGTATTTTAAAGGGTAAACTTGAACTAGTGAGGAGAACTCTACTGGAAAATGCGTTTTGATGAGTTTATCGACCGTAATTGGACTGAACAGAATAAGCCAATAGAACCTCCATTTAAAGAGGATGTCACCGCTGGCAGGGTTCATCAAAGTTTTATCCGCTGCTGTGGAACTCACCTTTAATGTCGCTCACCGAAAATATGTCCTCTACTTCACCAAGCGTCATATACCACATGACATGCGCTCGCCTTACACAATCATTTATCGAGTCTCACGGTACCCCTCGAGGGCATTAGGGTTTCGGACTTTAGCGATCGCAGAGGCGATTATCATCCTACTCATGAGGCTCGAACTGCGCGCACAACGAAAATTGATTCAAGCCCTCTGCCTTGGCCAAGAAATGGGGTTTGCACATTAATATGACTCAACAGCCCATTTGATTGCTTAATCCAGACAGCATGTCAGTTTGGATTCTCGCGGACTCGCTACGACACATGACTCATCCAGCTTTCTATTTGACCCTACTGAAATTGTTTCCTATGAAGGAAAACATGTTCCCCTACGTTGTTTATTCCTAATCAGTGGGCATATTTCGTGATTTTATTCTAGCATTTTCTTTACTCTTTCATCGAAATGGGCAATCCTGAGACAGCAACCAAAACCGGTGCACGAAAGGGCATTTAAAAACTGAAACTGGTGGTGTTATAGCCCCGGACATTAACCTTTTTGCTTCACATTGGTGGTGTAACACCATGTGGTGTTGAGTGGTGCCTCCGTAGCAGAGACTATCCGAGACGCTTGGTCGTATGGAAGCATTTTGCGAGGTGGAAGGGAAAGGTGGCCAGTCACAATCCAAGGTAACCGCCGAGGCCTTCGGAGGCGTTGGGTTTATTGAGTTCCCCGTAGTCGATACTGTCGATTTCGACTTTCTAGTCTTGACCGGATACGATATCGCATGCGGTGAAAGTATTCGCAAATGCATTACACTTGAGTCACGTGTACAGATAGGGCGTCAAAATAACCATCGGTGAACTAAAAAATATCGGGACAAAAGCGGGGAAAATGAAACAGTGAATTTCGGGGAGTAACAACTTTGTTTGTTTGTTTACTGCACGCCATTTTGAGCTTTTTTGGTTTGTTTATTTTTGCGATTGCAAACAGGAGAGAATGCACTCGCGCCACCGACTTCGGTTCGATGCCATTTCCCGCCATGTCTCCAGCCAAAGACAATCTGAATCTTTGGGGCCCCAGCAGGGACGCCGTGAAACCCCAATGGAAGCCAGATCCGAGCACAATCTCTTTAACCCTCTGCGCCACGTCATAGCTTGCTCACCTCGCTGTTTCTACCAGTCTGGACTGATATCTGCGAATAGTGCGTGGCGTAGCAGACATTGCTCAAGCATTCGTAGGACGTGCCCTAGCCACCTAAGACGATGTTGTGAAATTATTTTACTCAAAGGAAGACTATCTGGTCCTAGCACCCGTCGTCTGACTTCGTTATTCACGTGATGCTCCCACCATACGCGGGCGAGGTTACGCAGGCAGCGGTTGCCGAAGACTGATAGTTGCTGGACGTGATCTACTTGGAGATGTCAGGTCTTGAGGCCATAGAGCAACACGGTGCGTACCGTTGCGCAATACACACGCTCTTTCAGAGTGACATTACCGAACGAAAGTGCAGGAATGGGTTCCTGTCAATCTTGCAACAACACTTTGCATTTTGAAGGTGCAAATGACATACCATAGTGAGTAACCTCAATTACCAAACGGTTGAACGACTCTTGAATTGTTGGTGCGTTGTCACCCAGCAAGGCAATATCATCGGCATAAGTCTACGACTTCGTCCCCTGGAAGAAGCTAGACGCCAGCGTTTGTTACGTTATGTAACGCGTTTTGTAGGACATTTATGGCAAAGTTGAAGAGAAACGGATAGGGCAACCCTGTCGCATCCCACTGGTGACAGGAAATGAGGGTGAAAGTTCACCATAGGCCCTAACCTTCCCCGAGGTCTGGTGATAAAGCGCTTTCAGGAGTGAGACATACTTCTCAGGTGCCCGTATCTCCGCAAACAGTTCCACAGTGCGGGGCGATCGATAGAGTCGAAAGCCGCTCTGATGTCTAAAAACATGATAATGGTTCGCCGTCTGTATGCGTGGCGGTGTTCTAGTAGCTGACGAAAGGTGAAGATTTAATCTTGCAGTCACGGTGTGGACAAAACCCGGCCTGCTCCTCGTGGATTTGCTTCTCACGGAATGGGCATAACCTGCATAATAAGTAATGATAATAATAATAAGTAACCAAGAACCAATGAACCACATCCACCTTTCTAGTGATGGCAGTGGTCCCCGGCTCCATTGGGCGCCTTGGACGTTTGACCCTATCCAAAGGGGGTGATCCGATGAACTGGCCCCCAATGGAACGCGATTCTGACACACACCCGCTACAACGCGGGTAAGACTTTGGCTAGCTGCAGGCTCCGGTCATGAATTTTCCTGGAAAATTCAGCTGTCTTAACCTGGGAAACCTGGTAGTATCCCGCCATGTAAATTATGGACCATCTTTTTATAAAGATTATTGTACTTTGATTTGTTTGACATACAGCTTGGCCGTAGACGTTTGTTAAATACATAAATATAAGAGGTATGCCGTCGGTAAAAAAGCAACTGACGCCAAGGACGTCTCTTGTACCAAACTTCTATAATGGCTCATGATCACGTTGTCTACGCTCTCTGTTATCCATCCAATCTCGAGCAGCTGCGATCAGAGATATCCATGAAGACGATTAGTCTTCTTTAAAGAGCCAATGATGGTAAAGTAAAAGTGACAGGTTAAATGTGTCATCACCAACATCATCGCACAGCGAAATACAGTGAAGCGAACTTCACTGATCGCTGCCAAACTCGCAATGCATACAACATTGGTAGAAAAATTTAAGGTGGACAGGGATTGGACCTATTTTGAGGGAGAGGGAAGAAGGCGGACCACTATGGTCAACACTGCAAATCCAACTCTCCATACATACCGTTTCAAGCGTTCCGGCCTAATAAGAAATGACAACAAGAACGCCACTGCTGTCGGTTCGATGCCATATCCTTCAATGTTTCCAACTAACCGGTTGTGGAGTCTTT